AGACAGCTTGACACCAATACTACTAAAACTATTCCAGAACATAAAAAAGGATAAAATACTCCCAAACTCTTTCTATGAAGCAAGAATAACCCTGATACTAAAACCAGTCAAAGACATTACTAAAAAATAAAATTACAGAGTAATATACTTCATGAATGTTGATGCATTCATTCTCAACAAAATACTAGCCAATAGACTCCAACAACATTATCAGAAAAAAAAAAAAAAAATACATCATGATCTGGTAGGATTCACACTGTGCATGCTAGGATGATTTGACATTAGAAAAACAATCAACGTAATCCACGATAAAAATAAAGGAATATAATTAAATGATCATATCAGTAGACGCAGAAAAGGCATTTGACAAAATCCAACACCTATTCTTGATAGAAACACTCACCAAAATAGGAATAGAAGGGATATTTTTTCAATATAATTAAAGGCACATATAAAAAACCAATGGCCAACATTATTCTCAACAGAGTGGGACTGGGAACATTCCCCTTGTGAACAGAAACTGGACAAGAATCCTGTTCTGGTTACCTAGTGCCACTCTGACAGGATGTCAAATAGGATGGCCTTAACAAACAGGAGTTTATTCTCTTACAATTTGGAAACTTCAAGTCCAAGTTCAAAGTGTCAGGCTCTAGAGGCTGGGTGAAAGCCCCTCAGCCTTGCTTCAGCTCTGCCTCCAGCTCCTAGCCCACTGAAGCTAGAGGCTTGTCTTCAGACAGCTGCTGGCTGCTGAAGCTGCCAAGCCCAAGGTTGACAAGTAAAAAGGCACAGTCCTGATGTTACCAAACCACATGGCAGGCCATTAATTCAAGTCCATTGTAAGTCCCAAGGTTGGCAGAGCATGGCAGGCTGCTGAACGATGACACGGCAGGGTCCAAGCACACCATAAGCTAGAGATCATTCCCAAAGCTGGTACTTATATACGGGAAGCAAACTGCATCCCAAAGGCAGCTACTGAGCTGCTCACAGTAGATTCCACCATGAAGTTGATTACCAGTCTTATCATGGGGAATACTACATCCAGCTGCCCAGCCACTCAACCAGGCCTAGCCAAGCTGATACAAAAACATAACCATCACAAATGCCCTTTATCATCATTCCTATTGAATATTGTATTGGAAGTTGCAATAAGGCAAAAAAGGGAAATAAAAGGTATTCAGATTGGAAAAGAAGAATTAAAACTATATTTGCAGATGATATGATCCTATACATAGAAAAGCCTAGTGACTCAACAAGAAAACAATAGGAACTAATAGAAGAATTCAGTAAAGTAGCAGGTAAAAGATCAGCATACAAAAATTAGTTGGCTTCCTCTACACTAACAAAAGAGAACTCTGAAAAGGAAATCAGGAATTCAATACCATTTACAATAGCCACCCAATAGATGAAGTACTTAGGAATAAATCTAACCAGAGTCACAAAAGACCTATTTAAAAAGAAAGAGAGAGAGAGAAAGAAACTACAAAACACTACTGTAAGAAACCAAAAGAGACCTACATAAATGGATGAATATACCATGTGAATGGATAGAAAGATTTAACATTGTAAAAATGACGGTACTTACCTAAAACAATCTATAGATATAATGCAGTCCCAATCCAGATTCCATAATCATTCTTTAAAGAAATGGAAAAACTAATTACTAGCTTTATATGGAAAGGAAAGAGACCCTAGATAAGCAAAACACTACTAAAGAAGAACAAAGTAGGTGCCCTTAGATGCCTCAATATCAAAACCTACTATATAGACATAGTAGCCAAAACAGCCTGGTATTTGTACAAGGACAAACACATAGACCAAGGGAACAGAATCAGGAGCCAGCAGCAAATCCATTGACCTGTGGACAGCTGATCTTTGACAAAGGGTCGAAACCCATTAAATGGGGAAGGGATAGTCTCTTTAGCAAATGGTAATGGTAAAACTGGATATCCACTTGCAGAAAAATGAAACAGGATCTATATCTCACACCATATACAAAAACTAACTCAAGATGGATCAAAGACCTAAATGTGAAACCTAAAACCAGAAAGATCATCAAAGAAAAAATAAGGTAAAACTTAGGGGCCCTAATACATGACATAGATATACTATCAAACATAACTTAAAAAAGTACAAACAGCAGATGATAAACTAAATGACTGGGACCTCCTAAAAATTAAACATTTATGTGCATCAAAAGACTTTGCCAAATGACCCTGGAATACATTCTGCGCCTGGAATAAAACTCACCCCCAGGGGTGGGCTCTCAGCCCAATAGTTAACAAGATGTACACACAGACCACTCAACCAAGGATGCTGCACCCACATACTCTATGGTAATACATCCCTTAGAGCAATAGACCGTGGGACACCAACATTCAAACTGAGGAAATGCAGGACAAACAAGAGTGCATAAATACGAGGGGCACAGGGGGAGGGTTACAGGGTATGGAGGGGAAGAGACTGGGTTAGGTTTGGACATGGTGAATGGGGAATGAAACTAAATGTACACATTACATTAAATGTAAAACAAGCTCTTAAAGTAAAAATAAATAAACAAACACCATTTGTAAGAGCTAGGCATAAAAGAAAAAGAAAAGAAAAACTTTGCCAAAAGAGTAAAAGGAGAACCTACACACTGGGAAAATAATTTTTGTCAACAACAGATTGGACAAGAGGTTAATATCTAAAATTTATAGAAAGCTTCAATACCTCAACAACAAAAAGACAATCTAATTAAAAAATGGGGAGACAACATGAACAGACACCTTGAGGGAATGAGTTGCTGGGCATGGGGGCTCAGGACCATAGTCTTAGAGGGGACTAAGGTGAGTTGACATAACAGTCCACAAAGACAATGTACTTTCTACTTTGGTGAGTAGTATCTGGGGTCTTCAAGCTTGTGAGCATCTATCTATTGGTCTCTCTCCACACGGAGCAAAAAAGAATAAAGAAAACTAAAGATGCATGGAAACAATCCAAAGGACCACATGAATCCCAGCCTCCATGACTCTGAGACCAGAACTAATGGTACCTGGCTACCACTGCTGTTTGCTCTGAAAAGGGATCACAATAGCAGGTCCCAGCTAGAGTGAGAGAAACATGTGAAACAAAACTCAAAATCATAAAGAAAACCAGGCTTACTGGTCTGATGAAAACCCCCCAAGATTATGGTGTGATACTCTTCAAGCCAAGAACTGAACTCACCCCCATGGCTCAACTTTCAGCCAAACTATAGACAAGCCTATAAGGTGACCAATAACACCAGGAAGGTATGCACTCATTAGAAAAATCAACCATATGAGATCAAAAGAGTAGCATTTGGCCAGGAATAAAACTAAGAAAGCAGGAAGGGATAGTCAAGAAGGATGAAGGGAAATGGTAAACACAGGAGGAAGTAAAAGACTGCTGTTACATGGTGGGGATTGCAATGAATGTCACAAAACAAAATGTGTATGAACTGTTGAATGGCAAACAAATTTGCTTTTGTAAAATTTCACCCAAATCACAATTTTAAAAAAAGACATTAATTAGAGACTGGCTATTTAAAACGAGGAAAGCAACATAATTCTTTGTTTCTTATAATCAGCTTGACTCACTCGGTGTCTTAGCTATAGCTACTATTAGCGAAAAGGTTCCCATGCCACTTGAACTGCTAGAAATACCAGAAACTCTCCCCACCTTCTATTCCATCCCAATTCAGTTTCTTGCAATAATCCTCTTGCTTCTTAAACTCGGGGAGTTTTGTTATGGATGAGGATAGGCTAAAAGGTGGGGCCCTGGGATGTCTGTGCTGGCAGCAGTGCTGTTGGTTTACTCACTCTTTTTCTGTCTTCATTTTTGCATGCCACTGCTCCTGCCCTCTTACAGCCACAGTAGAAGCGGTAGAGGCCCGGGAAGGTATGGCCATACTCCTCTGATAGATGTGATCCTATGTCTGTCTACTAGTTTTAAAAAGCTCTATCAACAGTTTGAAATCTTTTATTATTGCATCACCAGAACTGTAACAGTGAGAAAAGGCATAGATGTTTCTAGGCATGCTTACAAAACAAGTATTTCCTTTGTGTATGGTATTCATATTAATTTAAATGACCTTCACCAGGGCTAGAGTCCTTTCTGAAGCTTAAGCAACTGGTCATGAGAAGTCAAGTAGTTTAATCCCTTCCATACTCAGGAGACATCCATTTATTATAAGAGACTCAGGTCAGCCTCTATCAAATGATTCTAAAGGATATCAAGAATAAAGGCAAAACTAGACAGGAATTTTGTTTGATTCATTTCTGAGGATGTCCTAAGAAAGTTAAGCTAAATTATCTCTGTTTCTATGGAAACCTTTTTTAAGTAACAGCTTATCTATGAATTTATGGATAAAAACTATTGAAATGGATAAACTTCTGTTATAAATTGTCTTGTTAAGTAAAGTGGTTTAAAATAGGACTATACAGAAATTGAATCAATAGGAAATACCTAGAAGCTGTTTCAATGGCTTTTAACTTACGTTCAGCTCCTGGTTGTGCAAGATAAAAAACTATCCTTTTGAACCATTTGTTTTTAATTATTTATGTTACTTTTTTGTGATCAGTGTGGTGTTTCTGCTTAAAGTAGCTACTCTGTGTAATTTGTTCTGTTATTCTAGTGTTGCCTTTTTTTTTCTAGCATTGAGCACGTTTCTGGCCCAAAAAAGAAATTCTTTCTCAAACATATTGAGGCTAAGTAAGAATTTGTTAGTTTTTTGTCATTATACTTTTGCCATGACTAACCATATTGAGCTTTTATGGAAATTCCTTTCACAGTTTCAGCTACTTTTGGGCCTTAAGGAAATAGTAGCTTCAGACAAAACTAATCCAATCAAATATATGTGTGTTATCTCCACTAGACATGTGCTCCGTAGCCACCCTTCTGTATTTTTCTCTAGGAGGCTGTTTGTGCTAAGTAGCTTTTATAAGTTTTGTCTTTTTGCTGACTAATTGAGGTCCCCTCCCTCCTTTCCTGTTTTTCTCTAGCCATCAGAGGGTTTTCGCTTCAGCACAAGATCCGGAGTTTTGAAGAAGCTCAAGGTCTGGACCGAATTAATGAACGGATGCCACCCCGAAAAGATGCTGTACGCTCTGATGGGCCAATGAAATTGGTAACTGCTGTACATCCAAACGCTGCACACAGGAGCGACCACGGGAAGAAACCCCAGTAATGGTTAGAGGCCTGCTGTGGCACAGGTGGATCCAAAACTTAAGAACAAACTTTATTTATTTATTATTGGAAAGCAAAACAAAACAAACAAACAACTTAAACCTGGAGGTGCATTCATAAATGCAGCCTGCATCTATTCTGTAAGAAAGGTGACCATTTTATAAATTCTTTTACCTTCAATATATATAAAAAGTACATCTGTTTTGTTTTTCTCTTTACTCTCTAATTTTTAGAAACTGATCTGATTGTTATTAATACATATATGAAGTCTTGTGCTATAAACATGACCTTCCCCTAATAAAAGGGCCTTGGAAACCTCAACCTTGGGTTTCTGACTTGAACAAATTAAACATTACTCCTGTGTTTTGGAAGATCACATCTTTCATTTAAGATTAATAACTTTTGACACACAAGAGGTTTGTTGTTGTGCTTTTTTCTTTTCTCTGCTTTTCTTTCTGCCGAGGCTCCATTGAATAGGTCTTTTAGATTCAGTGGCTAACCTTGCTTCTCTTCTTATGGAAAATCTGATTGTGGTAGCACTTCTCTGTGACTAACTCCAAACTCAGTGACTATCATGGCCAAAGGAAATGTTTACCATAATAACCTACTTTCTTCTGGCCTCTTCATTCCTTTTAATGTGTTCTAGTAAAGTAAATAAAAAATAATAAAGAGGAATTTTCTTAGAATTACTTAAATTTGTCTGTCTAACCATAGACGCAATCTGACTACCTTTAGAATTTTGGAAAAAGAGAATTTTTTCCCAAAAAGCTTTAGCTGATGCCAGATACTTTTGCTTTCATTTTTGAATCCCAGGTGACCTACCCCATCTGCAAAGGAAGTTACATTTCTGAACATTTTATAATTGTCCGCAGCAGAACTGTTTATGCCCGTCTGTGCTATTGCATCAGCAGTGGCACCCATTGTCCTCATGGTTCCTCTGTTTTTCCATGTCAGTATTTGTGAAGTCATTTGAGGTGATGAAAACTGACTAGGGTGGGATGATCTCAATGTGAACTGAAAAAGTCTTGCCAAAGGGCCTTGGATAAGTGAGGATTTCCTGTGTTCTTAGATAGTTAAGTATATCAACTACTTGGATGTCTCTCCATCTTTAAAAACTCATTAGGTTGAACTGTATGTCATTAGCATATTTTGGAATACTAAAACAAATATTCAGATATAAAATCAAACCAAACCAAATCCACTGCCATCAAGTTGATTTCAATGCACAGCAACCCTATTGGGACAGAGCAGAATTGCCCCAAAGGGTTTCCAAGGCTATAAACCTTTGGAGATCCTTAGGCTGCTGTTTATGGTTTACACTTATCGTGGACTCATATTTATTGGTCACCTCTGCAGTGAGTGTGCACATTAGGGCACACTACATCAAAGCATAAAATGCAAATTTATGGAATCCCTTAATGACCTTTTGGATGTGGGGTTCTGGCATTGAAGCAAGTATCTCAGACAGTAGTGCTTCATATTAAGAGCTTCAAGGAATTCAGAAACTTTTCTCAAAAAAAACAATTTCATTGAAGATTGAGGATTTAGCCCAGCTGTCTCTGTTTTCCTATACCTTTTGCTAGCAATTCCCAATTTTTCTGACACAGATTAAAGTACTTTTAGGAGTTGGAATCTGGTGACATGGCTTGCTCTGTTAATAAAAAGATAGGAAGGATGTTATGGAAGAAGATAAGGGTCTTTTATTGGGTGTTGAGTAAAATCTATAAAAGTAGAGAGAAGAAGTCTTGGGGATCTGTCTTTAATGATATCAATTATTTATACTCAAAGAGGAGAGTAATCTCCTGGACAAGCCCCACACTCCTTACCCCCTCATCCCAGAATTAGGAAAGATTGCTGTCTTGAGAAATCTCACCTAATATGAAAGTCAGTCCTCAGTGACAGATTTTAGAGATGAGAATCTCATCCCTTTCTCCTTTTCTTTGGGGCTATTGGCTGTATTTACACACTCCACAGGTAGAAACCATTCTTAAGGGCTTAAATCATCAAGCTATAGTTACTACAAATCTTTTTAAACAAAAAAATAATATCTTGCCAGTAAAAAAGATGATTATTTGGGAATGTCTTCATTATCATCTCTAAAAGCTGTAGTATGATAAAGCAAGCTTCCTGCTTGAGGCATCACAAAAGGGTATTTTTTACAGGTTCCCTCTGAGGTGTTGAGTGATCAGCCAGAGGAAAGAGGTAAAAAGTCACGATCCAAAAAAAATCCGAGTGAATTTATAATAGAGCAACAAGCGGTCTTTAAGGAAGCTAGGTAGCATAGGTAAACATATTTCTTATGTTGTGTAGAAAGCTAGGGTATACATTTCCACAATTTAGAAAGTTGTTTGGTAAACATGCCTGAATGGTATAAATAGATTTCTTAAAATGAGACTCTGTTAATGTACCTACATATGTATTTAAACCTATGACTCAAATTGTTCAGAAGGCATGAACTGTGGCAATACATTGTAATAATGGTACTTTTTATTCACTTTAGACGTCACTGAAGGATTTTAACATTTTTAATGTTTGAATCTAAACAATAGCTCCCAAGGAGGCTGGGTGCCAGCCCTGGGCTTCCTCTCATCAAACCAAACTCATTGCTATCGACTTGGTTCTGATTTACAGTGACCCCCATTGGGTTTCCGAGGGGATAAATCTTTATGGAAATAGATTGCCCTATCTTCCTTTCAAGGAGTGGCTTGGTGGGTTTGAACTGCCAGCCTTCTGGTTAGCAGTCAAATGCCTTAGGCACCATACCACCAGAGCTCCTTGGGTTTCCTCTAGACTGCTATATCTGCCTTGGGTTATCACTTTAAGCAAGCAATTTATTTTTCCCTAAATTTTATTTATTTTGTTGTTGTTGAGAATATATACAGCAAAACATACACCAGCAGTTTCTGTATGTACCATCTAGTGACACTGATTACATTCTTCGAGTTGTACAGCCATTCTCACCCTCCTTTTCTGAGTTGTTTCTTCCTCATTAACATAAACTCACTGACCCCTAAGGTTTCCATCTGATCCTTCAAGTTGCTGTTGTCAGTTTGATCCATAGTGACAGTTCTTTAAAGAGAGTTATGCTCAAGGAAGACTTTTTTACTAGTTAAGCTAAACTACTGTTTGATTTTACGATAACTTCAGGGGATATTTTTGGCTTAAGGTTTACAGTTTATCTCAGGGCAATAGTTTCAGGGGTTCTTCCAGTCTCCATGGCTCCAGAAAGTCTGGAGTCCATAAGAATTTGAAGTTCTGTTCCGTATTTTCTCTCTTTTGATCAGCTCTTCTGGTATCATGGCAAAGGAGAGGCAGTTGTTCATGGAGGCAGTGAGACACACATTCCCTATCTTCTTCCTATTCCTGACTCTCCTTCCTCTGTTGCTCCAGGTGAATAAAGACCAATTGTTGTGCCTTGGATGGCCACTTGCAAGCTTTTTAGACCCCAGATACTGCACAACAAACTAGGAGGTAGAACAGAAGCACTAAACATGTTATTAGGCCAATTAACTGAGATGTCCCATGAAACTATGACTCTAAATCAAGGAACCAAATACCAGGAGAAATGAACTCTTGATACATGCTACAGTATAGATGGAGCTTATAGACATCATGCTGAGGGAAAAACCAATCACAAAAGGACAAATATTGTATGATGGCCTCACTTACATAAAAACATTTTTTTAAAAAAAGGCAAATGGAGAGTTCCAATAAGATGGCGGCCTAGGCAGAAAGACTGCACAGACCCTCTTCAACAAAGAAAAGGGAAACCAATTAACTCAGACACAGAAGATAATCCTGGACCACTGAGCCTTGAAGGGAAGGATATAGAAGTGGACTAAACCCCAACTAGCAGAAGAATTTGCATGAAAATACCAAAAAAGGAGACAGACGGAGCTGCAATCTGGCAGCAATCCTGAGTGTTCCTGACGGCACAGACTGCTTGGAGATTCTCGAGTGGTGGTAGGACCCAAGAATTAACCTAAAAATTAGCCCTGCTGTGCAGGGACTGCATGGAGGACTGTGCATAGTGACTGGGGAATAAACGGAGGTGAAGAGAAAGGCAGGCTGAGCTGTGGACTTTTGCCAGTCCGGAGGCCACTGCCATTTTGAATGCTACAAGCAGCTTGACTATTTTGGATATTTAAAGAGACAGCACTCTCCGAGATTCCAGGGGCTTAAGAAGAGGTTCAGCTTTCCAGCAACCCCGAGAACACTCCGGACCTGCAAGATTGAAAAGGTGCGACATTCCTCTTGTTACTCTGATACCCCACACCTGCTTAGTGAACGGAGATGCGGCCATCCCCCACTCCCACCCACTTTCTGGGCCCACAGGAACTCCAACACAGTCAGTGTG